CTCAAATCCGAACGTCCAGATGGAGTGCTCTTGGCTCGTTTCGTTCGCTTAAGAAACTTATGAACAAGACATTTGTTCACTGTTCGCCGTCATAGTCCAGTCTGAATTCCTGATTTAACGCTTCATCTCCTTTGCATCGATTTTACTGGGCTTACTACGCTGATTTTGCCACGTGCAGCATCCTTCTTTCAAGACCCGGAATAATATACATTCTTTCTTGCCAGTATATATTCTGACTGCCTTCCTTTAAGCAGAGTACCACGAAATATCTTTTACAACGCGCCAACGTCGGCCAAGATGCAGTCAGCCTCACTTAATTTTTGTATTTAGCACTCGATAATGACCTACAATTGTAGGACAAATCAAGAGGTGCAAGCGTTTCGTGACGTAATTCCATTCAAAATCTGAGATCCTTACATCCCGTCGCCTTACGGTTGCCTAGCTGCTGCCGTAGGCTGGGGTGGAGGAGTGCGCAAGGCAGTAAGACCCATTTTTATGCGTTTTTGCCTATGTACAAATGCATTGAATAGCTGTGGACACCAGGGTAACTTTGCGATCATGCATCTTGTGCAACTCTGTCCAGTTAGCGTTCGTGTAGTTCTATCTGGCGGACCCTTGTGCAACGCTGTTCAGCGGGCGCTTGTGCAGCCCTGTCCAAGGGACCCTTGCTGCTAAACCTGTTCAATGCTTCATATTTTGATACGTGTAGAAATTTTTGTGGTCCCCGACTTATTAATTTTGGTGCCAAAAATTTCACGTGCCCTACGTGAGATCTAGGCATGCGCGGAACTAACTTTGAGTTTACAGGATCATACAGAGGCAAAACAAGGCATGGTTAAGGTGCGAAACTATCTGATTTTGTCAAAATTCATACAAAAACGCGTGGACGCACCACCAACCCTTGTGCGAGCCTTTACTGATTTGTTCTCATCCGTGTAGCTCCCCACAACGCTTTGTGTTGCATAAATGTTTTTTATGCGTTTTTGCTGTGCGGCGCTACAGCGCTGCAACAGGCAGCAAAGACGCATATTGTGACGGCCCTATATGTGCGTGTATTCGTCTTTCCGAGTATTTCTACTCGGCAACCAAGTCCAGGAACTTTGCCGATGCGTTCCTTGGCCAAATGCACCCCCAGGAATGTGATGTAGATTCTCACGTATGAACGCGCGGTAACTTTAGCGGTAAATTGCTAAGTTGGGAACGAGAAAAGCTAGAAAGCTAAAATTTTAAGGGGATGTTCCCTACCCACCTCAAGTATGCATGATTAGAAGATTTCAAATTCAACTCCCAGCTATGTATGCGTGCACATAGGATACATGAAAATTTTGGAGCATGGAATTTGAAACTTTAGGGGTCTTTCCCTACTCATACAGGACCAAAAAGTTTCATAATTAGCTCCCTAATACGCCCGAGCCTCACAAATGAGATACGTGAAAATATTGGCTTGAAAATTGTTAAATCAGAGGCCAGAAGAGCTAGAAAGCTGGAATTTTAAGATGTTCTTGCCCACGTACAACTAGAAGATTATTTGAAATTCAGCTCCGAGGTACACATGTTCTCAGCACACAGGAGCGTGAAAGTCTTGGCGGGAAAACTGTTAACCCGGGGAAGAGAAAAACTGGATGGCTGAAATTTTAAGGGAATGTCCCCCATACACACAAAAAATTTCGAATTCAGCCCCTAGATTTGCGTTGTTTGTTCGCGCATGTCAAAGTTTCCGCGAGAAAATTGCTCATTTAACAGCCTGGTCGTTTCCAGTGAACGACCATTCAATAAAAATTTTTCATTTTCTTCTTTGCACGGTATACGATGATTTACGCTAATGAGTACAAATTAAATACAAGCAACAACTATTCATACGGTTAAAGACCCGACTGCTTCAAATTTATTGAAAAACGCATGATCGAATCAGCAAGCCTGGTGTTCCATAAATACGCTTTTTTTGCACGCATAGCTATTTGTCCTTTGCTGCATTGCGAACTGCTGATCAGGCTGACTTTGATTCGTACCACCGAAGCTGAGCCGAACAAAATGCGATACAGTGTTTTTTTCGCTGTCCTCGCAGCTGCAAGGGTTTTTAACCCTTCATCATACATATCCGACGCTCTACACAATGCGTATATGCGTTACAAGGATCGTGAAGATCACTCGGCTGAAGCCTTCGTGTCTTTGCGATACAGACAGAAATGCAGTATGCACTCCAAAACTCTCTAGAATACGGCCATCTCCTTGAGCAAGTTAGCACCAGTCACTGCTTTCATTAGTATGGAAATACAGCCTCATCCTTGATGGTTCTCGTTGCATTTTCATTAGTGATGTCTTTCCGCACTTTTTAAAAACTGAATGTAAATAACCCAAAAAACATACCCGGATCCGAATACCTTTGATTTTATAGTGCGGCAATTTATCGGCGTTGTTTTCTATCAGGCCGTAAAATCGCTTGCTGACAAGCTTCATCCGAAACATGTTGTAAAGACTGAGGTTTGGCTTTTTCTGAACAAGTACTTATTGTAGTGCTTTAATTCTTTAGTTACAAGCCGCTGTTAGAACGTTGAAAACAAAATCTACCAGGAACCGGAAAAGCTTTTTTCCAGTTTAGTGCTCACAATTATTTATGGAGGGAGAGAGCCTCAAGCGTCGTAATCAATTGCATCGCTTCCTCCATGAATTAGCACCAAAAAGCCGGTTTAAGCCTTTCATTAAGATTACGCCGCATAATAGCGACACTGAGACTGTAGATAAGGGAGTAAAGCTATTTTTTCAAGATTTTAAACCAATTTTTGGTTATTTTTCCTGGATATTGGGGCATTCTTTAAAAAAAACACTATTTTTATTGGTTATTGAGCCAGTTTTTAACACAGATCAAAGTCTGACATACTGAAACTAACATTCGGAAGCAAGCCAATCAACTGGAGAATGGGAATCAGCACTTTATCCGGCAGCTTTTCTATATGTGGCGGCGCATCATCCAAACTCAGTGCTCCTAAGCGCATCTGAAAATTTTTCGAATAGGTTGATTTTAAATTTTGGTTCAAAACAGATGGGTTGATTTCTGGAGAAAAATAAAAACTAGCAAAAGGTCACACCCTGAAAATTTCACTCGCAGGCATGTTTTGCAGCCGTGAAAGGAACGGAATAATAATTGAGAAGGGTAAACAGCTTCGCAAGAACTGAACTCGCCTCAGCTTTTTCCTTTTCCTCTTGCTCCAAACCGTGCTTAAACAGCCTTTCAATTCGTTTACTCTGAAATATGATGGTATAATATTCGGCACGATGTTTTCTAACTCGCGGCCACAGTCTTTTGCTCTTTCGTTCCGGTGGCTGACCTTCTTTAACTGGTAACCTGACATGCATCAGCGTTCTTTCAGTGGCCTGTGCTACACCTTTCATTTGTTTTGTCCATTCGCTTTTTGCTGCTTCTCCAGGTTTAACTTGTTGCCTTCCAGGAAGCGCCGGCTGCGTTCCAACATGCATCGGCTGCATTCCACTCTGCTGCAGCCCTCGCATTCGCTGCTGACCTGTGGCAATTACTCTGCATTTTGGTCCTCTGCTACCCGCCACAGTGACCACGGCTGTCGGTTCGGCCATCGTCACTTCCACTCTACAGATCGCCAGTTGTTGAGCAGCAGGTGCAATCATTTGTGGCATTGTACTGCCAGGAATCTGTGCATGCGATGGGTCAGTCCAAGGATATACCGGTGTCTGCTGCGCAATAACTTGACCAGCTGGAGGCAGCCCAGGTTGCGGCACATAATACTGACCAGCTGGAACCGTTCCATGTTGCGGTTGGTTGAATTGCTCAGAAGCCATAAAACCAAATGGCTGGTGTTGAACTTCAGCTCCATATGGCTGCTGTTGAACTTGAACTCCATATGGCTGTTGTTGAGCCTGGACTCCATATGGCTGTTGTTGAGCCTGGACTCCATATGGCTGTTGTTGAGCTTGGACTTCATATGGCTGCTGTTGAACTTGAACTTCATATGGCTGTTGTTGAGCCTGGACTCCATACGGCTGTTGTTGAGCCTGGACTTCATATGGCTGCTGTTGAACTTGAACTTCATACGGCTGTTGTTGAGCCTGGACTCCATATGGCTGTTGTTGAGCCTGAACTTCATATGGCTGCTGTTGAACTTGGACTTCATATGGCTGCTGTTGAGCCTGGACTCCAAATGGCTGTTGTTGAACTTGAACTTCATATGGCTGTTGTTGAGCCTGGATTCCATACGGCTGTTGTTGAGCCTGGACTCCATATGGCTGCTGTTGAACTTGTCCAGGATATGGGGCATAAACATTATGCTGCACTGCCATTTGTGCTTGACTCGGATAAGCCAAATGTGCTGTACCAGGAGGTGGTTGTGCAACCTGTCCGAGGACGGGTGGAGGAGGTAAATTCGCATACTGCTGTGCGTGCTGGAACTGCTGCGCAGTCTCGTACTTATTTTGCTCTTGTTGGCTCGATTGTTCTGCCATTCCTGAAATAGTCCTTGTATGCACTGTTGTATAACGGCTGCATCAGCATGTTAAATCACAACCTTTGCACAATGTGGGAAAATAACATCAAAACCAGGTCACATCACAGCCTGAGCAGCTCGCTGTGGCACAAGAGTACCAGCAGCTTGCCTACAAGCGGCGCACCCAGAAAGATTTTAGTTTAACCATGGTGAAATAAGCTAACTGATGGGTATCTGTCAGCAGTTCTCCCCAATCATCACCACATATGGCCTGGCACAGACGACTGACATGCAACTAGTACAGGGCGTAGTAAGTGATCTGTATAGGCACCAGCGTACCCCATGCGGACACGACTTCAAGCTTCCATGTTGATGTAGGTGAAAATTCTGGAATCCTCTTGCTACAAAACAAAGAAATGGCGAACTCAGTGAGTTGAGCAAATGAGCTGTTTGTCTCTGTCCTGGCAAGTCAAACTAGCCCGAATGTACACCACCCACTGGGAATCAAGCGTCGATGCAGTTCAGCTCCTGTTTAGGGCAGGAAATAAATGCCGATTAATGACATAAACGGAAATTTAATAACTTTGATATGATCCTCTGGTAACAAATTGTTAATTTAAGAATTTGCTAATTCTGCTAGCGATACATCGTCGAGCCAACTAAGCCAAATGCAAACCGCGACACAACTACAACATTCCTTCGCATACAACAAACCAAAAATGCGCAAAGAGACAGAAATGGAAGGAGATCGGGACGATCGGCTGCTGCCCAGTGAACTGCGGTTGCCTACTCAGTGGGCCTCAGTCGCAACGCTGGTTGATCTCCGCGCCAATGCACCCTAGATCAGTGGCATTTTCGCCAAAATGTGCAGCATAAAAACTGCATGAGTCGCCTGCACGAATCTTATTGCTTGTTGGCCCGATGTGTCACTCACTTCATAAAAGCAGATCAAATTCTTCGTGGCAGCAGGCAGTTCTTGAGCAATTCGTGTAATTGCAGTAAAAAAAGCGACCGATTCTTACAGACAGTCGGCAAATGTGCGTGTTTTCGTAGTCTATTTGTCACTGTGTAAATGCTAGCAGTAACTTCTCTCTGGAATATGAGCAGACACTTCCTTGCCCATTTGTGTTAATGAATGCTCTATTAGTGAAGTGATGTTAATGCTAGAAATACAGGAGAATAATAAACGCACTTTCTTTAAAGGCGAATATTGCTCGCTCAGAAAATTGGGGAGAGCTCACCATCTTCTTTGGCAGGCACAGCGCTGCTTCACGTTTTCCAGGGGGTGAAATTTGGATTGGTCCACTTACTTTCACTTTCAGTCATGACGTTTTGGCACCAACTTTCAATCATGACGTTTTGGCACCAAACGCCGTTGATAGCCAGTGGCCAATCACTTTCAATTTTAATTAATTATCGAATTTTGCTCTGGTTTTAAGCTCTTTAAGTTCCTTTGTAGTGATTTAGCGATGCGCAGATGAATTTGGTTATTGTGTCACCCTACCCTTGAGTGTGTAACTCGCCTCTAATCCCGGATACACGTAGATGTTTGGCCCCCAGTAGCCCAGAAAAACATTTGTCCATACCTCTTGGCTATATTTTGTCCACACTGTTTTGTCGGATGCTTGCCCTAAAGGTGTGTAGGTTCTTTCCCAAGTATTTATTTTTGCTTAGTTATTGCTCGGACCGACTTCATCGCTCTGATGCTTGTTATAATTTTTCCTTGCTTACTCCAGCTTCGCCTGTATAAGCTCTTTAACTCTGGCAGGTGCTTGCTCTGACTTCATTTTTGGGGTTTTTGTTCGCCTGATCTGCCCTTATCGGCATTTATTTTCAGCTGTGTTTTTACGGTTTCCACCTTTTCTTAGATCTCGATGGCATTTACGCCAGATTGGCTAGTCGCTTAGTGTGCAGCAAACAGTTTCACTTCTTTCAGAGATTTGAAGTCACTGTTTGTTAGAAATTTCACCCGTTTCAAATAAAACTTTGGCGCAAAAACAAAGCAACATGATTCGAGTAGGCCGTGTAGTCAGCAAATGTTAGGCATTTTTTTGTTTAAATTATGGCATTACGTTGCAGCACCGGGCTCCCAATTTTACTAGTTAGTTCGAAGGAATCTGTTCAGCTACTCTCTGCGATTTATCAGCTAATTAAACTGGTACCTCTCAAGAAATTGACATTGAAGAGAGCTAGGCACTAATTATCTTTCACACTGGCATAGTATAGCCAGAGCGGTGCGAAAAAGCTGATAAAACTGCAATGATGGCAACCATGCATTATTTTACTTTGCTCACAACATGACCTTGCAGTGCGAGAGCGCACAAATAGCTACAACCTCGATGAAACCTTATCACAACTGATTGTCAGTGGTTCTTCAAAAATGATTCAACAGGCAAAAAGATAATCCTAATTGCAGTGCTTAGTGTCTCCGGTGGGCGTTTTTTCCAAGTTGAGGGGAAATAACGCTTTTCGTCCCGGTTCATTTATCTTCTCTTCTAGACTCATTTCTCAGCTAGTGCCTCTTTCTTTTACTGAAATAAAATTTTAATTCGCGTTTTTTGCGATTTAGGGTTGAACGGCTAAGGGGCTTGGGGAAGAAAAAGAAAGGGGAGAAAACACAGCGAAGTAGATAGTTTTGTTTTCATTAAAGATAATCCTAAAAAAGACTGTTACGAACAGTCTTCGACGAGATCATCGGATTCAACAGCTTCTGACAAAAGAAGCGCACTTCACTTTAATCTCCTTCTCTCAAGACTGCTGTTCTTTCTCGGCCTCCACGTTCAATTTGCTAACTCATGAAATCCTTCTGTGCTTCGGATTAGTTTTACAGCTTTCTCGCGTTTCTTTTTACAAACTCTTTTTAACGCATCCTTGGTTAAATTTTGTACCCTTTTACCCAGATTTCATGTTCCTTGCATAAATATTACGCGCTTTGGCTAAAACTGCTTCCATCTTACTAAATTTTTCCCATTCTGACCAAAATGTATGTTCCTAGACTTGACTTTTATGCGTTTTGTGCTGTATAACAGCAGCACAAATGCGGGGTCGTCTTTGTGTTTGTGTGTGTGTGTATTCTAGTGCATTTTGTCCCGCACTTTCAATTCGGGAACCACAGAAGCTGGGAAGCTGAAATTTTAGCAGAATGTTTACCGCCCCACGTGCTACCCTACAAATTTAGGCAGTTACTAAAGCTCGTCTCGGCTCACTTCGGCCGGCCTCAACAAGCTGCACGATTTGCCAATTGGTTAGCAGATCATGTAGCGGGGAGTCGCATGGGGGTTGCGGGAGGG